ATATTCAGTTGTATGGGTATGAGTTTGTGACCCTAGGTTTTACGCTTTTTGCGATCATCAGACAAAGTCTGGTATTAAGCACCTTCCATATCCATACAACTGAATATGTTAGCTCTATCACTAATATTGGGCACTTTCCAATAACTACCTCGCGCGCACACACACATGCGCGCACACACACACACACACACACACACACACATATATATATATATATATATATATATATATATATATATATATATATATATCATACAATTGGAATTAAAATACTATTAGTGAATGATCATTTTTCACTCGCGAATTTTAAATTTAATTTCACGATTTTTTTAAACAGTTTGAAAAATCCCGTGAATTTAAAATTTAAAACTCGCGAGTGAAAATGATCATTCACTAATGGTATCTTAATTCCAATTGTATGAAATATTTTGCCCTCTTTAATTAAAATAAACACTGAGCGCTCTTTTCGAGTCAGTTTTAACATTTAATATTTAAAATTCTATATTGTGTTAATAGGACTCGCTTGGATTATACCAACAGATTATCTATCTGTGTGTATATATATATATATATATATATATATATATATATATATATATATAATATATATATATATAAAAGTGAACAGTCAACACTTAGAGGCGACAGTCTGTTTCATGCTATATGCAATCGTCAGGCCTGACGATTTGCATATAACACTTTATATTTACACACGCTCTATCTCTGATATTGAGCACTTTATCCATAAATATAGCACACCTTAAAGACTATATTTCTTCATATATATATATATATTATATATATATATATATATATATATATATATATATATATATATTGAGAGGGAGATATGAACAGAATGAGATAGATTTAATTTTATTAGAGAGAAAATGTATTTCTTATATTATGCATTATGAAAATGACCTGCCATCTGTTGTTAACTTGGGCCCGAAATGACATGTCAATTTTCACGCCTCCAAAATGAAACTTCTCCCTTTTAATTGTCTGAGAGAACCCTTTGTTGACTTCCATCAGCATGGCTGATGCTAACCACCAGGAGAGTGACTCATTGTGACTTCACGCGCTTACACTTTCCGCTGACATGATGTAGAAAGATTATATTGAATCAATTGTTAGGTCCATAAGTAGGAAAATTGGTTCACTGTGTCGTGCTAGACAATTTTTCCTGACAGAATCTATTTTAGACATTTATATGTCTAACATTCGTCCATGCATTGAATAATGCTGTCATATCTGACCTGGTTCTTCTGCTATGCATTTAGAGCTTCTTGATAAAATGCAAAGAATGATCTGCATTATTATTGGTCCTGACCTTAAATCTCTGCTTCAGTCACTTTCCGACTGCCGTAACGCATTTTCACTTTGCCTTTTTTTTTTTTTATAAATATTTTAGTGGTAATTGTTCTGATGAACTTTCCTCTTTAGTACCTAGACTTTATAAATTTTGGCGGCAAGATTTTACAGTTGAAATAGCTAGATGTAACCGTAAGTTCTATGGAAATTTTTTTCTCTCGCACTATTCGTCTGTGGGACTCTTTTCTGGTTTCTTGCTTTCCAGTTAACTTTGATCTTCAAAAATTTAAATGCTATGTCAGTCGCTATCGTCTGCTTTAATTCATGTTCTTTTATTTTTCTCTCTCCATATTATCCCATACTTCGAAACCTCTTGTGTCTTCGTGGCTTTATTGCTTTGCTTGGGGTGAAATGATTAAAAAAATTATATGTGCATATCTCACGGCCATCGCATTATCACCTCATTTGGATTTATGCTCTCATTATTGCTGATGCGCGATAGATTTGGAGGCAAAGACCGAGGTGTATCGACTGTTCTTGTCCGTCGTACTGAGCGGTGTAGTCAATCCAACGATCTATGAAACCAGCCAGCCAGTCTTTGCTGAACGACAGAAAGTGCTGCTCAATTAATAAGGGATACCTGCGGCATTGTATATATGCGGGCGATGTATCTCGACTCTGATAAGGAGACGACAGTAAAGATATTGTCCTTAGCCACAAAGGCACAATCTGTCCACAGAACGGACTAAAATATCAATAAATATTCATTGTCATCTCGGGTTTCAAGCGAAAAGTGGAGTTGAAAAGCAGAAACACAAATGAATTGAACAAACGGCATTGGTTTCCTTTCTTGCCACTTATTTTACTTTATTTCTGAAGAAGTTCTTCGATTTCTTCAATTTAAAAAAACAAAACAAAAAAAAAACTATATTCAGACAAACAGACTAACCGATGAACAGAAGAAAAAGAACCACTTTAAAGTATTATTAAATGCGGGTATATTCTTTAAATAAAACTGGCAGAAGGAAATCAAGAACATCGAGTCGATCTTAAGTTTAGCTAAGTACGTCATAATGCAAAATAAGGAATAATGTGCGAAGGTTGTGTCCACTCCGTAATGAAGAAAGCTTACTGATCTTTACATTGAAAATCTTGGGTTTAACCTGCCATATGACGAAACTTAACTTTTTCACGAAGTTCAAACAACTTTGATTCGAAGCAAGCAAGGTTGCCAATAGAAAAATATCAATATAAACATGTACTTAATATGACTAATCTGTATGTTGTTGGCCTTTCAACTTAGTGGAATTAACCTTTTATTATTTTCTGTCTATATATATATTCTATCATAAATATATACGATATTTTGATGGGTCACTCTGACGTGTTGCAATAGTCAGCAATATTGTCTAGCTGGATCAATTACGACTGAGTAGTGAATTCAATCCTCACTGGGTGCTCTATACATTAGACTTTATGCCACATCTAAGCTACGTTTAGTAAATCGCAATATATATATTATTTTGACTGGGCGCTTCGACATTGTGCAATGGTTAGCAAGATTGTCTCATTAGATCAATTACTACTGACTAGTAGTAATTGATCTAATCCTCAGTGGGTGCTCCATACGTTCGACCTTATGCCATGTCTAAGCTACGCGGTATTTACTTGATCCCCACACTGAGTCAGGTTGTGACACAAGGTCAGTTTTTAACGTGGGGACCCGAGTGTTTTCACTCGGGCCGCTGGTCTAAGCTGGTTTTGGCTTGTCATAGCTGGTCCAAACTGGTCAGAGCCGGTTTAAGCTAGCCATAGCCGTGATACCACCAGCACAGGGACGGAGCCCTGTGACTGGTAAGTATCCGAGTGCATACACCCCTCCAAGGAGGAATTTACGCACTCCCACGTCTAAGCTACGCTTAGTAATTCAGTATTTTGATTATATGTAAGAAATATATTGTATACAATTGTTCGTGTAACTGGTACAGATCATTAGCATTGGGGTTTTTTTTTTTCAGAGAATGAAATCATTCACGGTACTGATGATAAAATAAGTTATTTTTTCAAGTATTTCTTAATTTTATTGACTTACGGCAACATCAAGTTGTAACATTGATTCCTGTAGGATCACTGAAATTAAGCAACGTCGAGCCTGATCAGTACCGTCATAGGTGATCGCTTGGGAATACCAGGTTACAGCACCTGGTATTCCTTGGATGTGTGGGTGGTGTAATGGATAATTGTTAATCGTAGAGCCGAGTTCTAATTTCAGTTTGGCTCCTTTATATTCACTTACGTGTAAAATACCTTTGTGGAAATGAATCCACCTTCTCTCCACAAACTATGGGTTAATTAGTAAGACTTGTATCACTAAACTATTATTATCTAAAAAAATCTGACTTTAAATAACCTGAAAAGGGTTGATAAACTGTAAAAGACAAATCAATCAATCTTAATTTTAGTGCATTTTTTTAAAAAATTATCTTTGAGTTTGACGTCGCTACATCAGTTCGGAGTTATTGTAAAATTTATTAATTCCGTTTTCAAGATTCTAGTTATATAAATCAAACGACATTTTTTGATTTTATTCATTCGCCGTAAATCTTTTCGGATTTAATTCCTTCCCGTTTTCCTTTTATCTCTCGACTGTTTCAATCATCGGGGGGGGGGGTGGACCGGAAGGCAAAAGAAATAGATTTTGATTCTTCTTCCTCTCCCTCCTTTCAGTGGACATTTCCTCTCCCTCTTCAAACGTTTGACCGATAACCGAAGATCACAGAATATGGCGTGGGTCACCCTCGGTCCGTACACTAGGCGTTCGGGTTTTGAATTCAGTGTTATCCTTCTCCTAGACTGATTGTAGGACCCAGTCTGTCCAGCAATTTGTTCAGATCTTTTCCCAAATGAACTCGACTGGATTTCGAATTCGGCTTTTCGATTCCCCAGTCCGATCGGCTATCCATTACTACACCGTGCCTTTACAATTTCCGAATTTGATTAATTTATCCAAATTTCAGCCTTCCCTCGATTCGAACTCTGACGAACGAAGCGGTAATCTGATATTTAACCTTCGCCTCGCGTCATCACCAATTCTTTGATCATTTACAAAGCGCAATATAAAATAAACCTCTTTATCCTTCATTTTGAATGGACATTAGATTCAGTGATCATGTCTTTCAATCACATTCCAAGTAACTTGATACAATTAGTGGTCAGAACTTCTAATAAAGGTTGCAGTGTTTCATTTTTAGAGAAGCAATTTTCTTTCCATTAGCAACAGTCTGTTCTTGCACGAACCATCATCTCTTACCAGCTTCCTGCATTCCAAAGGTAGAATTTGTTTTGTAGGATTTTATACTCCTATTGTTTACAGTAAGAGGCACGGTGGAGTAATGGAGAGCGGTTCGGATTAAGGAATCGGAGAGCCGAGTTCGAATTCCAGTCGAATCCATTACATTCACTTATGTGCTAATATCCTTCTCCCACCCAACTATGGGTAAATAGCAGGACAGACCCGGTTCTATAGCCTTGGATGACGATTGGTCTACCACAGAAAGAAATGGCAACCTAATACGGGAAAAAAATCATCGGTCAGTCATGTACCGAAAGATACATGATCGCCTAAGCGTGTATCACGCACATAACTTACTGTTTACAGTACCCGATATTCTCATCTCATCTACGTAATGTTTAACTTCGGTAGTCGATCGAAAATCGATGCTTTCAGTATGCACACCTTATTGAACCGATCAGTGATCTGCTGCAGTAGAGGCAGAAATCGAAAAAAACAAACAACACAGCAAAACACTCTGTTCTATGGTTGAAAGTCGTAGATTTTAGATGATTCAGGCACTTCGAAATTTTGCTGACGATCGAGTTAAGGGAGAAATTCTTCTATTTGCCGTGTCCCTTCGGGGCGTTGGTGAACATGGCTCTTCACAATTTTCTGTCCTTTGTAGCACTTAATAAATTTTCTATTTTTGGCATCTCTCCTAAACCCTTTTCTGCCATTCATTCACTAATGCTCGCCAGGTATGTTATGCGTTTCTTTCCCTCCATCCCTCCCTCTCTTTCTCTTTTACTTTCAGTTTGACCTGTGGCTATTAAATTTTCCAAGTCGTCTTTCCTCATTATGTGTGGCTTACGGTCATATCACGTTGAAACACCGATTCTCGTACGAAGTTAAGTAACGTCAAGCCTGTTCAGTGCCTACAAAAGTGACCACTTGGGAATACCAGGTGCTGTAAACTTGGATGTGTGGCTGGTGTAGTGGATAATGACTAGAATTGTTAATCCAAGACCCGATTTCGAATTCCAGTCAGATTCCTTATATTTACTTACGCACAAATGCCCGTGTGGAAAATGTATGAATCCACTATTTATCCCCCCAGCTATGGATTAATTAGGACTTGTATCACTAAATAATTAATATCTCTAAAAAAATTCTTACAATCTAAAAATATTTTCTGGTTTTAAATAAGCTGCAAAAGATTAACCTGTAAAAACAAATGTAACAATCATTGTGCCCTGGAAGGAATGCTATGTGTATAAGCAAGGCAATGTTAATGATTAGAAGAAACTTGGATCTCATAGTCAGAAAGCCAACGTTCTAACCACTCGACCACAGGCTAGACATAATAATGATATTAATATCATAGTATATTTTGAACAGGAATAGAGGTTTATCCATTGTTTCCTTTTTAGGATTGAGTTTCCGATTCCTTCTGAAGTCTTCTCATTCTCTTTCACTCCAATGAATCTCTTGCGTCTTGGTAGCATTATCTCATTGCTAGAGGTAAATTGATTAAAAATAAACTAATAGTCATGGACTGTACATATGAAATAAGCTTAAGAGGTAAGGTCTGCGAAAAGGAAAATATTTTTGATACACTGTAATATTTATTTTAAAAAAGCTCATCTAAAACAGTGGAAATATTTTCTTCCTTTAAAAGGCAACATTAATATGCTTATTAGATTGAGAGAATTTAATTTAATTTAATTTAATTATGAATCCACGCAAAGAAATAAGAACGAAAATACGATACATGGAACAATGCGTCTAATTCCTAAATTGAAACGTTCTTTGAAAATTAAGACCATGATTGTTTTGTAAACATCTCTTTCTCTTTTGGTTCTCCCAGATGTCGCTGTTCTTCCGCTGGTATCGACACCACAACAGGTTCGTCTTGGCTTCTCATCTCTACCGACTTATCGATATGGTGTGTTTTCTACCTGTTGGATCAAAGCAGGAACGGAGATGGGACCTTACATCGGCAAAGTCGTACAGAGAGACGAGATCAACATGACATCTCCAAATGAACTCATGTGGGAGGTATGTGAACTTTCGGAGAGTTAAATTCAGTCGTTTCTTTTTCCCCAAACAAACGACTTAGCTTAGCTTACTGGACGTCCATTTTTTTTTTTTTTTCGTCCGTTTTGCCACACAAAATCATTGAAAAGCAAAAGGGAATTGTCAGAAGTCGGAAATTAATACAAGTTATTAATAGAATCAGAATAAAAAAGCTACAAACACAGACACAGACACACACAGAGACACACACAGACACACACACAGAGACACACAGAGACACACACACACAGACACACAGAGACACACAGACACACAGAGACACTCACACAGAGACACACACAGACACTCACACAGAGACACAGAGACACTCACACAGAGACACAGAGACACACACAGACACACACACACAGAGACACACACAGACACTAACACAGAGACACACACAGACACTCACACAGACACACACACTATATATATATATATTAATAATAAATATACTATTTTTCCTTTTCCCTCTCAGGTAGCACAACTTTGGGTTTCATGCACAATGCAATCGTCAAAACTGAAAACTATATAATAGTATACTACCTGTTAAAAATGGCCAGATCACTTACATATAGATCGATATTACTGTTGAGTATAAAAGTATCTATGTGGTCTGTCCAGTGTCAAAGTGATAACCGCCCTTTGTCCTTTGCCTAGGACCAGTGTAACATATGTGCGCTTTGCCTCAGTTATTTACAAGTTAATTCATCCCCAGACTCTGGGGTAACAGTTACTAAATGTCTTTTAACTCCTCATCCAAGAAATTTAATATATTAATGGTAATGTTCAAGTTTAAATCTCGTTTGGTGATTAACTGCATCGTCTTTTAGCGACGTTGCCGAACACAGAAATATCTGAAAATTATAAATGAGGCATTGTTATGGACCTATTATTCGGTGAAGTATTTTTAGTCGAATGTCTGTCACTTTTTGAATTGGAACAATTATCAAACCCTAGTGTCAAACTGTATAAAGACCATGTAAAGCAAAAAGATTCTTAAACCGGGTTACACATACCCCTGGTGGTACGCGTGAGATATTCGTGGGGTACGCAATCAAATCGCTTAACATTTCGTCCTTTTTTTTCATTAGAAGTTCGCGAAGCTTCTGACCTATCCCTGATAGAAAGAAACAATTTGCTTTCTGTATTCTCCCTCGCCTTCTACCAGCGAATTTGACCTTAGGTACCATAACACAGAACGTCTTCTCAAGGGTTTTGCCAACACATTCGTGCTGAATGAAAGGCTATACAGAAGAAAATGGTTTGACAACCCATGGATAGTGTATCAAGTTAAGTGTCAATAATTTGACAAAAATAAATTGTATGACAATTGTGTTTTCTTTAATTACAAAACGAAGACCAAGTTCTTTTTATTAATATTTTATTACAGGCTGATATATTTATAGACTTTCAACATTAATTCATCATATTCATAGACTCTGTCAAGTATCTCTAAAAAAAGAAAAAAAGAAAAAAAAGGAGTTCAAACACACATACAACTTAGACATACTAAATACCTAAACTGAAATAGTTAAAATCATAAAAATCAGTCATCTTAGCCTGGATTCCAAGTTATGTTTGGCAAAGGACAAATGGCACAGTGGATAAACATAATTGATAACTGAAGATGGTTAGAGTGTATTTAGTTTAAACGTCTTTTCTTTAACAATCAAAGATGAAAACAGTTCGAATATGTTAAAGTATATATCATTTCTTTCTTCTGAATCAAACTTCCTTCCAAAAAATTAATTTAAATTTTTTTTTTTATTTCAAATAGATATTTGATGACCGAGGTGAGATCATCTATTTTCTGGAAGCTGATCACGGCACTTACTCTTCGTGGCTGTCTTATGTTAACTGTGCTAGAAATGATCAAGAACAGAATCTGGAAATCTATCAGTCTGGCAGAGAGATTTACTACAGAGCCACCAAGGTAGTTATTCTTCACTTTTTTCTTTTCTCTTTATTTCTCTCTATTTTTTTTTCTTTCTTTTTCTTTTCTCTTTATTTTTCTTTTCTCAATTGCTGTGGTGATCGTTGTGCGTAAATACGGTGCCAAAGAAAGTAGTACATATACATGGCCTGTAATCATAATTTCGAAAACAGACCGCGTAAATTCATCCTAAATACATATAGTAAATTAGTAAATATATATAGGCAGTAAGAAGTTGTTTATATATATATATATAGCCTCTAAGTGTTGACTTCTATGTTCACTTATATATATATATATATATATTATATATATATATATATATATATATATATATATCATATCAGGTCACCCATAAGTTCTGTCCGAATTTTGTATAAATAAAACAAGTGACCAGATGTTACATTTAATTACAGATTCAATCAACAATATATTTCCCTGATTATCTATGACTTCCTTCCATCTATTAACAAGCTTACTAATTCCATTACTGTAAAATTCTTTTGGCTTTGATTCGAAGAACTCACAAATGTCAGTTTAACCTCTACTTGTGTTACAAAAAGCTGTTTCTTCAAATGATTCTGTAGCTACGAAACAAATGGTAGTCTGAAGGGCAAGATCAGAATAAGGTGGATGAATTTTCTTCTATCTTTTGTGATGTGATTCTTGCTGTGTGGGGTCGCGCATTGTCCTGATGAAACATCACCCGTTTTCGATTCACTGCAAGTCTTTTTTTTCTCAAAGCTTGGTTCAAATGCTCTAATTGCTGACAGTATATTTGAGCATTAATATTTACTGTAAGAATTCAAAGTGGATTATTCCTTTTCACCAGATTGAAAGTTGATGAAGTTTCCCTCGGCTGTGGCTGGGGTCCTTTCCCTTTAAGGCACTGTCTACGACGCTTAACATCCATTTTCGTCGACAGTCACAAATCTATCCAAAAAGTTGAAACAAGTTAGAATAAATGTCAACTCAGGATTTAGGTTATTTTCAGACAATTCATGAGGTTTTATTTTTTCCAAGTTTAGGAACTTTTCCAAGTTGTTGAAGATGACGATGAACAGTTGTATGGTTTCAACTGAGAACCACTGCCAATTCCTCAACTGATAAAGCAGGATTTTCTTCAAGGGCTGCTTAAAGCTTTTCATCAAACTCAACTGGACGTTCGGTTCGATCTTCATCTTCAAGGGTGAAATCTCCACCTCTGAATTTTGCAAGCCATCTTCTGCAACATTCAACATTCCCTCTCCATAAAAAGTGAATGTTTCTATTGAGTTTCCTTTCTTGAATTTAATAAAGCATTATACTCAAATGATTCTTGGGTACTTCCAAGGGTTTTAATCAAACAAAATTTAATTTTATTGTTCTCTGAAATAAAAAATCAGTTTAAATGCCTCTAAACATAAAAATAATGTTCAGCTCCATTAGACATTATAAAATACTCTTTAAATTTCGTTCATTTTAACAAGGAGTTAAAATTCGGAAAACTTATGATAGATGAACCTGATAGATGTTTTGTGAGGAAGCGTTATCATCTCTTATCTTTTCTTTTTCTTTAGTTATTATGCAAGCTTTCTTTTTTTCTTACTAAAACCAGCGTCTCTGCGTATGTATTTTCCTTCTGTCTTTCCACGCAATCAAAACAGAATGGTTCATTATTTATCCATGGTAATGGCAGAGCGTAACTCACATGCTGCCTAACTCCCTAACTAACGGAAGAAAAAGCATTATTATTATTATTGTATTGGCCCAATCCACCGAATTAGGGCAATGGATTTCAAAGACCAATAGATGGGTAATCGACACTTATTATCCACTCGTCCATTGGGAAGGTGTTTGCGTTTTAGAATTTTAAAGTACTTGTTTTTCTTTATCATTATTTTAAACTGGTTGATTCCAATTAATGTTTGTCAATTATATAAGTAATCATGAATGTTATGTGAAAGATTGATTTTATAACCTTTGTATGACAATTTTTGTCTGGCATTTATATTGCCTCCCCCTCCCCATATGCGCTGTAATATAGAAGTGTAGTTGATAGGGAGAAAACTGTCTAAATGTTTTGTTGATGAATGATAAATGCAGAATTAAACCACATTAAATCTATATAGATTATTGCTGAACTACTTTCTCATTGCTATTACTACTACTACCACCACTACCCTTTAGAAAAACTGATATTATTTGATTTAATAAAGTGTTATAACAATATTTAAAAAAAATATTTCTATAAATTGTATGAATCGGCAAGGAGAATAAAAAAAAACTCTTACTTTTAGTTTTGCTTTCCTTTCCACGCACGCACTTTAATCTTGGCCCCTAGTGTGTCTGGCTCACGGCCACAATCACCGAAGTTAAGCAACGTCGAGCCAGGTCAGTACCTAGATGGGTGATTGCTTGGGAATACCAGGTGCTCTAAGCTTGGATGTGCAAGTGGTGTAATGGATAATGGCTCGGAATTGTTAATCAGAGAGCTGAGTTCCAATTCCATTTGGGTCCTTTATATTCATTTACGCGCAAATACCGTTGGGAAAGGTATGTATCCACCTCTTCCACACAGATATGGGTTAATTGGTAAGACTTGTATGCTAAATCATTATCTCCCCATGGAAGTACCTAATTTAAACTGTCAGTTGTACACAACCGCTTTTTCAGATCAATGGTTAGAAACAACTTCGATAGAATGAGTCGTGTAGCTCTTAGCGAGGATAATTCTACTTTGAACCATGTGGACTGGCGCTACAGAATCACAAAGAACTAACAAATAATATAAACTACATCGCTTGGGGACTTTCTACAATAACAACAATTAAATAGATAACACATGTAGTATGAAGAGCAAATAAGGAGATAATAAAGATGTAGACATTCCGTACGACTTAAAAAAAGAAAAAGAAAAAAAGATTAGAAACGAAGGCGCTATCAATACTAAAAATAGTGATAACAGTTATTGGACCTGAGAAACCTATTTTCCTGAAAACTTGTTTTTAATAGAGAGATTTTATTTCAGCTGGCAGTATCACTGGCTGCTCGGTCAGTGAATGCTGTTTCCTTATAAGGAAATGGCTAATATTATTATTATTTAACATCAAAAAGACATTCATACTACAAACAATTCTTTTTTTAAGACTACTTCGTTCGTCAGTCAACATCGAAAATTATCATCTTTTTATTGTAACTATTCTTTTCATTTTCTATGAGTAGCCATCTTGAAGTTTTAGGCCGCCTTGAAATTTTTAAGTAGCTTTTCCCACATTTTATGAACAAAAAACATCGACCTCCAATTTTTACATCCATTATTTTTCTTTTCTTTTTCTTTTTTCAATTCGCAACTTTATTTCCAATCATTTCTTTATCCTTCATTACAACACACCGCCCCATTCATCCATATTTGTCTTTCATTTTCATCATGGTTCTATTTTTCTTTGGCGTTTAGTTCTTTTCTCTCGATATCGTTCTCGCAATTTTTTATTCTATTTCTTTTTTATGTTTCTCTTTTCATACCTTTTCTGTCTTTACAAGTTTTCTATCAACTTTATTTTCTTTCTTCCTTTGTGTTTACTCTTTCCCATCTTTTCATCCATTTCACTATATTTTTCTTTCTCTCTTTTTATCTATAATTTTCTCTCTTTTTATTTCTTCTCTTACTTTTTCTTTGCATTAATTCCTTTTTCTTTCTTTTTTTCGTTCATTTTTCGTTATATTCTTTCTTTTCATATTTATTACCTTTCTTTTTCACCATTCTTTTTCTTCCTTTTTAATTATTCATTCCATCCATTCAGTTTTCTGTCATTTTCTTTCTTTTTTCTTTGCATTAATTTCTTTTTTTTTTCGTTTTTTTCGTTTTTTAGTCTTTTCTTTTCCCTCACTCTCTTTTTCTTCCATTACATTCTCTCTTCCTTCTATCCTTTTAGCAGTTTTCATTCTTTCTTTCAGTGTTTCGTTTGCTTTTTTTTTTTTACTTTCTTATTGCTCAAAGTTCATTTCTTTGTCTCCTTTCTTTGGTCTTACTCTTATTCAATCTTTCTTTCCTCCCTCCTTTCACACGTCTACGGATCCGGACGGAACACTTTTCCCCTCAGTCCCTACCTTCTGACCAGTTCTTGTCTAAAAGCCATTAAAAGCAATCATCCAACAGAAATGACCCAATAAACAACAGGCCCGTTACCGCCTGTTCCCTGTCATCGTTACTCGTCCAGCTTGAAATACAATAAATGGGCGGATGCATATGAAGAGCCGTCTTAGTGACTACTCTGCTGGTACCAACCACACTGCTGACCCACCGAAACAATGGTGTTGCCCTCATCCCTGCCGGCGATCCAATTTACGGCCTGTTTACTTTATAACTTAAAGAGAAACATGAAGCCGACACTTCTTCCTTCTCCTCTTTCACAAAGAATGTTCCATCTTATTTAATGGCAAAAGTAAAGTTCATTTATCACTAGTTTTTCTTTTCATGGTGGTCAGGTATATATTGTCAATAATGACATTTAATAATGCCAACTCATAATAATTTACCTTATGTCTACCCGAGAACGTCATGTGTTCAATTGCATTTTTGAAACAAGCATCTCATTAACATTTTTTGATTGGGCTTGTATATTCATGACTTCTTTTTTTTTTGTCTTAATTTAATGTAAGTAGCTCTAGGCCATGGCATCACAAATATTATTTATTAAACAAATACGTTAAACAATAAATCATTCTTTCTAAAAAGTAAAAATCATTAGTAACACGGTTAATTCTCGCAATAAAGCAATAAATTGTTGGATAAGGATTATGTTCTTGAGCCGGTTGTATTTGAACATGGTATATATACGAGTATAGGCAAAGTTTTGAATTTTCTTTATCGTTGTCCACTGCCTTTACCATTACCCCTCCCCTTCCTTATTTAGTGTTTCAATTTTTTTTTCAAGATTAGCAGAAAGAGAAACATATCCTGAGAGAATTTTAAGTTTCAATCTAAAAAATGTTTTAGTAAGTTTCGACACTCAATTTGTATGTCCTTCATCAGGGTTTTATTTTGACAAAATAAAATAAAGAAAGAAATACAAGAAAGAAAAAAAAATATCTAAGCAAGGAGGTAGTGAATATTTTAAAGTCCTTGTCTCTAA